TATTTTTGTCGTAATTATTATTGGTGATGATATGAGACTTAGATACAACGATTTAGAACCTGAACGGAGGAGTTGGAAGTCTGAAACAGAAGTCGCGAAGTAGCAGACAGCATGTTTCGGTCAACCGATGGAGTGTATCGGTTGACTGACGTGGGTGTTTCGGCCGACCGAATGAGGGTATCAGTTGAGCGAAACTTCCTATTAAGGTAACATATTTTTGTTGTTTGAATTTAATGGTTTTTGATTTATTTTAACACTAGCTGTAAATGGTATTTGCTTTTGGTTAAGCGGTTATTGGCTATTTGAATAACGTTGCATTGTTATGTATTGGTAAAATTATATCATACATTATAACCAATAGGATAATGATGCATTGGTTAGATGTTGGTCGATTAGTCCGAAATATTTATATAACATGTAACGTATTATTTAAATAATTAATATAACCACTTTTGGACACTAGGTTAGTGGTTGGTCGATTTTACTACTTTAGTGGAGAATGGATATAATGTTTAAATTGGTACGTGATATTTATTTAAATACACGTAATTATATTAATAAATGATTAATTTAATTATTAAGTTGCAAATCATTTTGGAATAATGTTATATCTATTTAATTAATTTCATATTATTAATCATGATTTAATTATATGAATTGATATCCTTGTGATCTATAAACATGATCTATGGCTGTGGTATTTATTACATCTCTGATTTATATATTACGGATGAGATTAATGGTTGTGCGTGATGTGATTATTGAGATAGTTAATAAGTTACGCTTTTTGATATTATGCGTCATTGTTGGATATGGCTTTGATATTGGATGAGTAGAGAGATTAACTAATAAGTCAAGACACGCTACATTGTGCTATTGTTAGATATGGTATTTATTTATTGATATTTTATATATATATATATATATATATATATATATATATATATATATATATGGGAGTCATGATACGAGCTTGAGGTCTCGGGATTTATAGTTAGGTACGAGGTGTATATTGTCGGATCTAGATGGGTAGCTGGAGTAGGAGATGTGTGTGTCCTTGAAGATGATGGTATTCATGACCAGTTTGTGTGCGCCTTACATAACGCCTACTACACGGTTGAGGCTGCCCTATTTTTAGTGAGAGTCCTAGTATGTATTTATGTATATATCGACTATATAGATATAACATGAGTTTGGTTAAGGATGTATTAATTATCAGTTCTCTGATTGGGTTGTAGTGGAAAGGGCTTACTCATGAGTCTAACCCACAATTTATTTTTCAGGTCTAGGTCACTTCCAGACTTAGAAGTTGTTCGTGCCGATTAGAGACATTCTTATTCGTGCTGATCAGAGACATTCCTATTCATTCTTCCGGATTTGACAACGTAGGATATTATCTGGCTTATTTCGTGTTTAGACTAGAATATTATTATTTCAGTTTATGAGACTAGTTCATTTAGGGGTCCATGTTATTTGGATTTCTGAGTTGTACGCTGGAGATTTATTATTATGATGGGATTTTATTGGAGATTATGGTATCAGAGGATTTATCATTTAATTATTATTATAGTTTTTTCCTTTCAGCGATATTTATTTATTTATTTTATTATTATTATTCCTCTTGTATTCTATAATTGTTTATTATTAATTGTTTGATATCACTTGGTCTCGTGTGCGGACCTGATCAATCCGTGTTCCGGAATCGAGGGATATCACAGTCAGGACGGTCGTGATTAGTTTCACCTCTTGGGGTTAGTAAGGACCGTGTTTCCATCTAGGCGGGCCATTTTTCTGATGAGTCAGTGGGTTGCTCTAACTGAGGTTATGATTATCAGTGTATAGTGTTGGAGGTTGTGTCACTTGGGAAAGTAGAGATGGAATGGAGGTCGAAGCCTCGTTTTACGGCACAGAGGTTCCATTTGGGAAGGATTATTTTTAGATTGATCAGGACATGTTGTCCGACAGGTAGGGATCATTCCTGGTGTTAGTAGGTTGCGAGCATTGGCGCTCTTGTATTGTAGTCCTGTTGTGGGCTGTGTTTTGCACTTAGTGTGTAGGAGTTGCGTGTTAGATTCGTTTTGTTTAGCATCGACTATACGAGGTTTCGGTGTTGGGTTCCCTTATGGTTTCCCAATGGCATGGGTAGTGCGAGATGGTTGATTTGTGGCGAGATTATGTAGATATGAGTACGGGTTCCATGTGATTAGAAGTTTCATGCATGTTGTATTGAGTGGTTCATATCCTTGTGTTTAAGAAGTTCAATTTTATTTCGGGTGAGATTGGGTGTTCACGGTTGGACGTTTGATGAGTACTATGTGGCAGGGTGCTAGGTATACTCAAGTGCAGATTGTCAGTTTCTTATGAGGACAAAGTTGTTACCCTTCCTGTTTATTCTAGTCCTGACCAAAACATTGGCAAAAGACACTTGTGCATCCAGTTTGCACCTATAGCCAAAACTCATGAAGATCTGATGGTCAGATGAGCAAGCGAAATTCACCATTATGATCTTTTTATTTTTTATTTTTTAGGGAATACATATGTGAAAGAGATTTGATTGTGGATCTCTATTGGTGACGCAATTGAAAAATAGATCTTTAGCGTTGGTTTTAAGTAATTAAGGAGTTCAAACACAACACACTCTTATGAAATTAGAGTTTTGAGTAACCGATCAACCAATCCCGTCTTTCAAACGATCATATCATCATTTTGCCCTTTCACATTTTCCTGTCAATTGGTAAGAAATTTTACCTGAGAAAATTCAATTGTTGAATTGAAGATCCAGCTTCACCATGATGTTTGGAATATCCCAAAACCTTTTAAACACCTAGAGTCGCATTGCACTCACAATTAGAATGTTCAAAAACATCCGGATTGATGATGCGCCCTGTTGGTTTTTGTATGCCTTGACATAGCGAATTCTATTTAGATTATAAAGTTTTATGTTCCTAGCTTATCTGAAATTATATTTACTCTGTATACAACTGACGAATGCAATATATTATGTTTCAATTCATTAAGGAATTGATGTTATTCACTTGATTCCACTTGATAGTTATGTACATGTGAGGCGTCCAATACAAGTATATAAATAGCAATCATAAATAATTATTGTTGATAATTAAGAATGAACTCTTATATTAACTAATATATGAATCGAATTCATTATAAATTAAGAAAATATTACAAAAGTCTTCGTATGCAATTACTCTATCACTGTCTAGTCTCAAGTATTTGATTTGTTGCCGCTATGGCCAACTTTGTGAGATGTTATCTGAAATTCTTTGCCTGTCAGTGGAATGAAGACCATGACAAGAAGCTTACTTCCTTCCAATACAAAGTTAAATGAACTTTTAACTGTAGTCTCAATTATTGAACTTTTCCAATACCATCACATATGTGTCGTCACCTATCCATGATACTAAATATTGATCTTTAACTTTTCCAATACCTTCACATATGTGTCGTCACCTATCCTTGCGTCTTGATTTTGTGCAATTTTTTTTTATTACTTTTCGCCTTAATTAATGAAGTTTCAGTTCTTGCTTTAGAAGCCTCACTTGGAAAAATAATAGCATCATTCATTTAGCTCATTCTAGATTCCTTTCTTGCACAACGATCGGTGGTGGGTGTGGAGTTATGACGATGATGATTGCTGCCTTAGGAGTTGGATATGGACGCATGCATGAAGGAACTCATCCTCCAACTCACGCTTTTCATCTATATAATAGGCAGCAGCTCTTTTTATTTTTATTTTTTTTGTCAAAAAAGAAAGAAAGAATATAGTATAAATAAAAATATTAAAATAGTTGACTAACTAAAAGAATGAATTTATTAGTTTTTTTTTGCTACAAATATCTTTGTCAACATTTTTCATCTGTATTTGCATCCCAACCAAACCTAGTCGATTCTGGTGTCAATTGTCATATGCACAGTTGTGTGTCTGTGTGTGTTAGTAGTTGTGTGTCTCTGTGTGTTAGTTTTAAGTTCTAATTTAAATATCGGAAAAAAGAAAAAGAAAGAGGAGGATAAAAACTAATTTCTGGGGTCTAATCATATATTCTTTAAGCCAACTGGGTCAATACGTTAATCCCAACCAATCTTTGTTGTAGTCTTTTGGTTTTGGGTGGGTGCCTTTGAGCCTTGTTTGGGCCAAGTCTGTTTTGAATTTGTACTATCCTAATGTTAAACGGACTAGGCCCATGAGTTAAAAATATTGTGGAGCTAAAACACTTGCAATAATATTCAGAAAATAAAATTATGTTTGGTACGTATTTTGTTTTAGGTTTTTTGTTTTAACCCAAAACAAAATAACTATTTTGCTATACTAATTGGAGGTATGTTTGTGAATGTCTATTTATTGCACAAATTTTGAAAATAAAAACATAAAAAACATATTTTGTAAAAAAAATGTTGCATGTTTAATATAATGGCTAGTTTAAAAAGATAATTTAAAAAATTTTGAATTTTTTTCTTTGGGTATCTTTCAGTACCAGAACATGTAAAAATATTATTCATGAAACGTTTTGATACTATATAAAACAAAATTATTTTTACTGAACACATTTTTTTCATCATTTATTGTTACGGACAAAAACAAAAACACTAAAATCAAAACACGTATCAAACCGGAAGTTGGTAGCCTTCAGTGTTCTGTTAAATAAGCAATTGAAAATCTTTGTTTTGCTAACGATGTGGACTACTACCATACAATATATATAGAGAATTATAATTTCTGGGCTGAATTCAGCCCACCATTTATGAGATGTCAGGTGGTGGAGCCGTGGAGCCTACCAACCCACTAGATAAATGGGATCCTACCACAGATCGCAATATTGGCTGATATGCTATTCGTTTTTAAATGTGTGATATTTTTACATACCTTCATGAATCATTTGGTTTATATAAATATTCGCTCGTATTCATTACACTGCAATCAATATCGTGACCGCGATCGATGAATCCGACAATTGTCCATAAATCACTACTCATATATATTTACACACACACACATAAATTAACTTCACAAAGTTGAAGCTTCAAAGCTTCAGCATGGAGAAAAAAAATTCAAGTCAAACCAGCTGCAAGTTCTACATTTTTCTGGTATGGCAATTGACTCCCTATCGGCCCTCTATTTGTTCAACGAATTGCATAAGCCAAAAATCTGACATTTAGTTTTTGGTCCAAGACTCTTGTGAGCAGATTTATCTTGGGAAGCTCTTGGAGTTTACCATCTACTTTGACTCACCCCATTCAAATATTAGCTGCTCTGCCAATTGTGGTCTCCATTTTCCTCTAGGCATGTTCCTTAGCACCACCTTGTGTGGTTTAAACTTTAAACTACAGAATAATAATAAAATAAGGATAGACCTTTGTAACTGTAATTGATTGATATTGTAACAGGAGCTAAAAAAATATTTTTAACAACCAATTTTGAAGAACAAGAAATTTATATCCTTTTTTATTTTCTTCTTTCTGAATAAGTATACACCAACTAAAACAAACACTGGAACAAGAAATGGAGACAACAATATCTAGGCTTGAAATTGGAAAATCAATAGCTTCACTTCAATCTCACAAGCTCACAGCTTCTTCACCAGGAGATTTACTCCATATTTGGGCTCTATAACCATATGAAGGGCCGGTGTATGGACGTACTTGGGTGAGAGGGAGAAGGAGAAGTTGGACAGAATGAGAGCAATCAGTGTCTTGAGTTCAACCATGGCCAGATACTGTCCAAGACACACCCGGGGTCCGACCCCAAATGGCATGTACAAGTGGGGGAGCTTGCATGCACCAGTGATGCCATTCACAAACCTGTCTGGATTGAACTTACAGGCATCAGTACCCCAAATTTTAGGGTCAGTGTGCAATGTCACCACTAGGGTCCAGAGGTTGAAACCCTGTGGGATTTGTATGTTTCCGAATTTCACGTCCTTCAAGGCCTCTCTTGAGACCACAGATACAGGAGGATAAAGGCGCAAGGATTCATTAATCACCATTGTTAGCTGCAAATCAAAATTTCAGTTAGTATAATATCTAGGAGAGCTACCTTATTTTGATGCCTTGAGTAATGCTAGCTAGTAATATATACCTGTTTCATCTTTCGAATCATATCAGCATTCGGGATTTTCCCTCCGCAAACTTCAACAACCTCAGCGCGAACACGGGCTTGCCATTCTTGATTTGCAGCCAAAAGCATAAGGCACCATGTTGCTGAAACTGCTGTGGTCTCATACCCAGCCAAGTATATGTTCTTGCAGTTGTCAACAATGAATCGATCAATTTCATCTTGGCTCAGGTCACTATTCTCAGCACCTTCAAGAACCATTTGCAATAGGTCCTTCTCATATCCAATTTTCTTCCTCTCTTTCACTACGTCGAGGATCAATGTGCGGACCTCCTTTTCCAATGCCCATGCTTCCCTATTGCTCTTGGTAGGAAGATGCCTGAAAAATACCATTCAATTATTTATTTTCCTTTTTTATTGCTAGTAAAGTTCTAGAATATATCCAACTTCTAAATATTATTTTGTAAATGTTGACTATTTTAAAAATCAAAATTTGAGTATAAGTTTTTAGCATTGTATCAAACAGTTTAGATTTTAGTCACGAGGATACGTATCAAACTTAGATTTTAGTCACGAGGATACGTATACAGCGTACCTAGTGCCAGGGATCCCCATAGACAGAAATTTCTTGGATGAAGCTTCTTGAAGAGCTCTAAGCTTCTTAAAAATCTCTCCACCCTTGGAAAAGTTGCTCCCAAAACAAGCTCTCGATATTACATCTCCTGAGAAGCTTCTCATGTCCTGGTCGATTTTTATGTCCGCGACTCCACCTTCAGTTTCAATTCTACTATTCCATGAGTTTAATAGTGCGATTGTGGACTCTGTTATAAGATTCATCATTCCCTGCAAGAAATTTTTAGTTTAAATGCCATCATTTTATAACAAAAGAAAGCTATAATCAACCTAATTAATGTGATGTATACTGTGGTATATCATACCTTAACCTTCTCCATGTACAGTTCAGGAGCAAGGATTTTTCTCTGATGAGCCCAAACAGCTCCATTAGAAGTTAGTATTCCCTGGCCAAGCAAAGCACCATGCTCTTTGTGTTGATATGAAGGCTTCCCCAAGTCCAAGGATGTGCATGTGGTTATCTCTCTCACTGTATCAGGTTCATTCACATGTAGGATTTGTGTACCACCAAGTGAAAACATAAACACTTGACCTGTACAAACATAGATCGATTGGAACATATCTAGTTAACAATCTGTATGGTCATATGATATCTAGTCTAACGGTATAACCTCCTATTTTCCAAGAGGAAGGGAAGGAGGATTTGATTCCAAGCGTGAACAAAAGTGAATAATTATTTTGCCATACAATAATAAATAAATAATAAAATAAATAAAATAATAGGCTACTTTACCGTCTTCCAAAGTAAAAAGTTGATGGTTCAACTCTCCACATAAATAAATAAAGCTAGCAAACTCTAGGGATCATATTAATTTGCTAATAATTATTTGTTCAATGAGCATGAATTTAGGTTACTTTACTACAATTATTTTTTGGATTGGTCACTGAATTCAATTTTTTATTTTATTATCATTAATTTTTTTTCCTCCCATCTTTATAACTGAAGGTTTCATGACTATTTCTTTGAGATGATGCATGCAACTTGAAAAACTCAAAACATAGCAATGCATACCGTATTGGTTCCTCCATTGCTCAAAGAAGGGAAAGATAACTGCGGCACAGTTGTGGTCAACGGGGGGTTCAGCGCTGGCGGCCGGAGCCTTTTGAGGGCCATTTCGGGCCTTCATGACCTCCCTTAAGTTCCCAAGTAGAATGGTTGGCGGCGGCCCATTGATCCCCTGCTTCCTCAGCATTGATCGGAGCCTCCCCGGCTTCGCCACCAGCGAATTGTACAAACGTACAAACAATCCTACTACAGCAACTAAAGCAAGTGACAAGAACATCTTCACCAGGGTATTGACTTCCATGGCCAAAAACTCTTTTCAGTTTACAATGAAGTCTCCACATACACAACACAATTTCTTTTCCATGGGGAGACTTGGCTTTCTCATCTTAATTCCCACCTCCGAGGCCGGCCTTTATATAATTGGCCTTGTATGATATTTAATGTCATTATTTAATTCGGTCACGTCATTCTCGGAATATTATACACACATGAATGTGTGTATATATACACACACAATAGGAAGACAATAAGCTACATGTTCTAGAGGCTCTCCGTTGGTTGGCCTAGAGAGATGCATTATTGATCTGGCCATGCGACGGAGTCTAATTATTTAAAATTGTGATTATTATTATTAGTATTATTATTATTATTGTACTATTAGTGAATAAATTATCAAACTAGGTGCAGCGATGTTATTTATTTTATATAAGTTCAATACAGGAATGTTAAATTAGTAATATTATAAAATGAACATTGCATTTTTAAATGAGACACTTATTTTGAAATTATTAAAAATACAAAAATACGGCACTTGTTTTAGTACTCAACTAAAACAAGTATTTGAATCAAATGAGACATTTATTTTGAAACAACAAAATACAAAAATATGACACTTGTTTTAGTACCCAGCTAAAACAAGTACTCGAAACTCCGTTATAGGCACGCACTATATATATATATATATATATATATATATATATATATTGGAAGACAATATGACCAAGCTATGCGTTCTAGATGTTCTTTGTTGTTTGGCCTAGAGAGGTGCATTATTGATCGGGGGATGCGACTTTCTGTAAGCAGTGCTTACGTAGTCCCAGCTATTTTGACAGAATTTTCCTCCACTCAAGACAATATTGATTGTAGACTTTTAGTGATTAGGACAATTCTTAGTAGGTAGAAGGGTAGTTGTGTCCTATCGAATTTGAATACAAAGTGAAATAAGTATAAATGAGTTAATATGTAACATTATTCAAAAATTTAAATTTATAGGTAAAAAGGTAAACGTCTGTCCATTACAGTTGGTGTCAGAGTCAAACCCAAACCTTAATCCAGTGTCACGCCAAGCGCCCGATCCAAAAGATGTTTGAGTGAGTTATCCAGATAGGTAGGGTGGCTCGACTATCAAGGGCGGAGCTAGCATACGCCCAAGGGGGCGCATGCCCCCACTGCGCCCATGCTAGCCCATTAGTTTTAATTACAAATTGGCCTATGATTTGTAATAGTTTTCAAAATGCCCCCCTAAAACAATTTTTTTTTCTAAAAAACGGCCATTAATTTTTATAACACATAGGCCAATAATTTATTAAAAAGTGAAAATTACCCCCTAAAAAAATTATTTACCCTTGGGCCAATAAATTTTTATTGCAAATAGGCCTATAATTTATAAAATTTTACAAAAAATGCCCACTAAAATAATTTTTTTTTTAAAAATATCTTCAATTTTTCCTTTCTTTCATTCTTACTCCTCCTCCTTCTTCTTCTTTTTCTTCTTCTCTTTAAAAAAAAGTTGCATTCCTTTATTCAAACTATATATTTTTTTTCTATTCAAAGTTTGGTAATTACATTTGTTGCTAAAAGGACTCTTAAGATCGGTATTTTATGTTTCTTTTTTTTTTTAAAAAATAATTGTTTTTCCAAAAATTAAATGCTATTATTCCACCATTATTACAGTTCTATTTTTTGGCTTATTGTCTTGCAGCACTATTCACTTGAAAAACATAATTTATCTTTTTTAATACGGCAGCCCCCCTAAAATGAATTCCTGGCTTTGCCCCTACCAACTACAACGAAGGCATTGCGAGTTCGGGTGGGGGAGAATGTTACAAGGGATACTTATCCCACATCAGATTCAGATAGGAAGTGAAAGATGTATAAATATGTGGGTATGTAAATTACCCAACAATTTAAGCTTTTAGGTAAATGGACAAACCCCTATCCATTACAACAATTTAGTACACTATGGACGTTAGATTGGTATCGTTTTTTTTCTTTCTGGTGAGTTGGGTTTGGAATATCTTTCAAAAAAAAAAAAAAAAATTGAATTGGGTCCGGAATGAGATTAATATATACCTACCAAGGAATAATTTTAATTTAAATGTGTAATTGTGTATATATAGTCATTAAACTCTATTGTTGATATTTTCTAAAAAAAAAAAATGTATAGAATTGAAAAAGAAGAAGTTTGAGTACGTAGGATACAATAACTGATTTATATATCCTAGACACTGGTTATTCTGATGGAACTCTATAATGTTACAAGTTTGAATACAATTTAATAGTTAAAGACAATTATTAAAGTAATTTAGCTTGGTAAAAATAATTAATTATAATAAAATATTACTGTATAAAAGACAAGAAAAAAATGTATAGAAACTCTAGGTACATGTAATACCAGGATAATCTTTATTAAAATCCCTTATATAGAATTATCAAAATAATAATAATAATAATAATAGAACAAAATTAATTTGCAATTTGTTTGAATAAATAAATTTTTTCTCTTGTAGATTCATTAATAATAAATAATAATATTATTATTACAATTTGTCATTTAAATAAATTTAACCATATCACATAAATATATTTTATTCTTACGTAGCTTCAGTTACAACTAATTAACATACATTTTATTCTTTATTGTAAAGGCATTAACACACCTAAGCCTTACATCAAACTCCAATTAAGCACATTGTGTTATACTGTTATATATCTAATCATGTGGGGACCATATGAATTGGGATGTGAATGTGTGTGTATTATGTAAGTAGTAATTATTATGTAAGTAGTAAATTGAGATGTGAATGTGTATGCATTATGTAAGTGGTAAATGTATTTGTTAATGGTGCATTAAGAATGTTGACTAATACAAAGTTTGGTTATAAATAGGAATTGTTTATTGTTATATGGATGTATTTGGATTTAAGAGAAAAGAATAATATCTCTCTACCCTCTCTACATTCTTCTCTCTATATTGTAGAAATAATTTTATATTTTATATTTTCTATTAGATTCACAATACTTATCAGCACGAGTCTTTAACCAATTGAGACTTGAACAAGAAGCTCACACTCCTTCTCTCTATCTCAACTCTCCTTCTCTCTATCTCAACTCATATATCTTACTTGTGATATTAATTTTGATACATTATTGGGTTTGTTTGTTTTGTTAAACACAATAAAAATGAAAATTTTATTTTCTGAAAGATAGCCAAGTATATTTCCATTGAGCATATATATATATATATATGTATCACTAACAGTGATCAAGTAGTTTTCATTTATAGATAATCTTTATCTTGGATTTTGTTTATATAAAGAATTCTATTATAAAGAGAAATTTATTACGGAGTATATTTTAATTTCTATTTTCGTATTATTAGATATCCCCAAGTGAATTTCCTTCATCCATTCATACTGAGTTTTTTGAAGTGGGTGGAACATAAACAGAGATTGTTAATAAGAATGTTTACTTTAAGAATCAAACCATGCACTTAAATGTAATTATAAACCACCGAATCACTTGTCATTAGTTATAACCATGGTACTACCCCTGTCTTGGACAATTTTTACAGGCAATCAAATAAAGTACAAATTAATTATATGATCACTATTGGAATTTTATTATACCTAATTTTTTAATTAAATTGTTATACATACCATAGTGATTATGGTACTTCAATTTTATAATAACTTGAAAATTGAATATCTTGCGGTGATAGACCCACTTATTTTATGGGAGGAAAAAAAAAAAAAAAAACACAGAGTATTGTGATCCTTCTAAAAAACTCAGTATGAATGGATGCAACTGTGGTTGTAGGATTATGAAATTATTGACGAATATAATTCGGCCTTATTTATAATCAGCTAGATTGAGATGATGTAGAGAAATAATTACTCATGAATATATGTTGAAAAGAATATCACTTATCACGTCGAGGGCGTAGATTTATGAAATATTTGATGTGGAGAAAATATTACTGAAGGTTATATATTGACAAAGAGATACTCCAATGATCATGCTGGGAATGCGTGGATTTATGTACAGCTAATATCAGGTTCGATTATGGCAGAGTAAAATTATGAGCTTTTATTGTGATATTACCAGTCCCACTAAATCGAAAACGATTTCTAAAATGAAATCTGCTCATTTCACGGTCATAGACATGGTCATGGGTATAGTCATAGTAGAATTAACTATCAACACCGTAGAGGTTATTACTATAATTTCACATTCTACCCTTAAAGGTGGGACCAAAGTAATATTAAAAAAGCAAAGGGAGAGAATTTGCCTTAACCCCTATGGCACGTGTTGCTTGTTATCAATGCGAAATTGATTAGTGTGTCGATGAAAATTTGATTAACATGAAATTACTTATTATCAGTGTAACATCGAAAAGGAAATGAAACGACCCGGGTTTTGATTCAACCCGGTGGGTCAGTGATGAACCGAAGATTGACCCGTTAACGGATCCAGATGCGGAAGTAAGAAACAAAACAATGATCTCCCAAGGCATAACACACCTCTAAGACTCTTTGATAACCTTCTATGAGGTCATGGAACTCAAAGGAATAAAGTGTGGAAGCAAAACAAGGACAAGGGTATCGAAACCCTACCGAAGGAAGGACCAAGGGTAAAATGGTCATTTTACCCTAAGAGGAAGGAATTTAACTTCCAACAAGTCAATGAGATTCAAAAACATTCAAAAACAACCTTTGGCAACTTCACAACAAGTCCCAAGGCCAAAGGAAGAGAAATCTCAAAAGAACCCTATCCCGGTTCGAACTAAAACTGACACCCTCTCACTAAAATGAGGATATCTTAAGTTAGGAAAATAATATAAAACTAAAATTAGTACCATTGGAAAGATGACTTCAACGCAATCAGTTTAGACTCAAGAACAAACCAATTCGGAGTTAAAACGAAGAAGTTACATCAGTTTGAAGTTCAAAGTCCAAAACTGAAAACTCTGGAAGACTTGAACCGGTTCAACATTCTTGAACCGGTTCAACTTTGGAAGTACGCCCAAGCTGAACCAAAATGACACCTTGAACCGGTTCAACTATTCTTGAACTGGTTCAACTTGAACCGAATGCTAAAAATGCAGCAAAAACAATGTTTT